ATAACTCAACTTATCTTAATCGGATTTTCAAGTGGCATACCTCTAAATGTTTCTGGCGCAATTCTCTAAAAATCTGCATTCAAATTTAGAAATTTATTTTTTTTACAATTTTTTTGCAATTTTTTTGATGTGATGATGTAGAAATACAAAAAAATGAAGAAATGCCCTACGGCTGAAGTTCTGAACTCCATAACTCAACTTATCTTAATCGGATTTTCAAGTGGCATACCTCTAAATGTTTCTGGCGCAATTCTCTAAAAATCTGCATTCAAATTTAGAAATTTATTTTTTTACAATTTTTTTGCATTTTTTTTGATGTGATGATGTAGAAATTCAAAAAAATGAAGAAATGCCCTACGGCTGAAGTTCTGAACTCCATAACTCAACTTATCTTAATCGGATTTTCAAGTGGCATACCTCTAAATGTTTCTGGCGCAATTCTCTAAAAATCTGCATTCAAATTTAGAAATTTATTTTTTTACAATTTTTTTGCATTTTTTTTGATGTGATGATGTTGTAGAAATTCTAAAAAAATGAAGAAATGCCCTACGGCTGAAGTTCTGAACTCCATAACTCAACTTATCTTAATCGGATTTTCAAGTGGCATACCTCTAAATGTTTATGGCGCAATTCTCTAAAAATCTGCATTCAAATTTAGAAATTTATTTTTTTACAATTTTTTTGCATTTTTTTTGATGTGATGATGTAGAAATTCAAAAAAATGAAGAAATGCCCTACGGCTGAAGTTCTGAACTCCATAACTCAACTTATCTTAATCGGATTTTCAAGTGGCATACCTCTAAATGTTTCTGGCGCAATTCTCTAAAAATCTGCATTCAAATTTAGAAATTTATTTTTTTACAATTTTTTTGCAATTTTTTTGATGTGATGATGTAGAAATTCAAAAAAATGAAGAAATGCCCTATGGCTGAAGTTCTGAACTCCATAACTCAACTTATCTTAATCGGATTTTCAATTGGCATACCTCTAAATGTTTCTGGCGCAATTCTCTAAAAATCTGCATTCAAATTTAGAAGTTTATTTTTTTACAATTTTTTTGCATTTTTTTTTGATGTGATGATGTAGAAATTCAAAAAAATGAAGAAATGCCCTACGGCTGAACTCCATAACTCAACTTATCTTAATCGGATTTTCAAGTGGCATACCTCTAAATGTTTCTGGCGCAATTCTCTAAAAATCTGCATTCAAATTTAGAAATTTATTTTTTTACAATTTTTTTGCATTTTTTTTGATGTGATGATGTAGAAATTCAAAAAATGAAGTACTCCATAACTCAACTTATCTTAATCGGATTTTCAAGTGGCATACCTCTAAATGTTTCTGGCGCAATTCTCTAAAAATCTGCATTCAAATTTAGAAGTTTATTTTTTTACAATTTTTTTGCATTTTTTTTTGATGTGATGTAGAAATTCAATAAAATGAAGAAATGCCCTACGGCTGAAGTTCTGAACTCCATAACTCAACTTATCTTAATCGGATTTTCAAGTGGCATACCTCTAAATGTTTCTGGCGCAATTCTCTAAAAATCTGCATTCAAATTTAGAAATTTATTTTTTTACAATTTTTTTGCAATTTTTTGATGTGATGATGTTGTAGAAATTCAAAAAAATGAAGAAATGCCCTACGGCTGAAATTCTCTGTCTCTATACGGACGCCTTGGACAATATTTTAAGCAGGACTGGCAGACTTAGGTCAGTATCAAAGAGAAATTGCATGGGCATTGGAAGAGAGTGCGCATACACTTAAAGATTCTTTGGTGCTCTTAGACTAGCTCTTCCCCCTTAGCGGCGAATTGGATGATGTGGCCAGAAGGCTGAGATTTCAATAAAATACACTGAAGTTGGCATAAAAAGAGCTAATGACAATATAAATTCGCGCGACGTATGGAAATGCGTGGCAGATGGGAAACTGGGTAGCCAGCCGGCTAAGGGATTTCCCGCTCTTTGAAGGGAAAACGGTATTGGGATGATGAAAATCTGGTGAAAATGGCGGGGTGCAAGCCAGCTGACAGCAGTTATCGCTGGAGCGAAAGGCAGTAATTAGCGTAAATTGAGTTGGTAAAAAGCGCAAGTGTTCAAAATCCAGCCACCCAGTTGTGTGGCATCCGCACCACCACCACCAACACCACCAACTCCACCACCAGCCCAAAAACCAAGAACCACCCGAAAACCTCGCCTGCGGCCTTGGGCTTTAGTTGTCCCTTGTTTTTGTGGCTGCTTGCGCTGCTGTTGTTGATTATGTGGCAATTAGTTGTCGCTTTTGTGGCAAGCCACGCGGCACTTTCAATCAGAGCATCTTATTCCGACAGCCGCATAATGCCCGTCCAGGTGGGGCTTAGTGAGCTAATTAAACAAGCCGATTATGGCCCGACATTCCGCTGACCTTGGCCACCTCATCCCGCCACCCACCACCCACATGGAGTCCATCTCGGTAAAGTTTGCCACAACTCCTAACCAACTCGACCCGAGAACATTTCTCCAGTTATCAACTTTCTGCACATATTGTCAGAGGTGTTTAAAAGTCTGGGTCACTGTGGGGTTAAGTGGGCGTCGGGGAATGCTGGGGGCGTGGCTGTAGTCTGATGAGCGGCATTCGCTACTTGCTCGGTATTAGAAACTTTGCGAAATGGCAAAAAACCAAAAGTTTCCAATTTGGTAGCACAGAAAATATTGTTGTAGGAATTTGCCTAAATCAAACTCGACGAACAAAAAATGCACTTCAAAAATTGAGATAAAATGTAACCGAAAAAAAGCGAAAGATGTTTTCTGGTACTTCTAGCTCCAACTCTTGACTCTTAAAAGCACTTAAAAGTACTTCTAAATTGATTAATAAAGTTCTGTTACGTCAAGTCTTTATTTTTCAACTAACAACGAAGGTAGTTTCCATTTACTTTATTTTCGGGACGGATCTACACACATTTGGCATCTTACAAACCATTTCCCGTAGCTCAACAACTTGGGGCGAATGCAGTTCATTTGCCAACCAAAAATTTTATGATTTATGGAAATGTTCTACGTATATTTCTGTTCTGTGCTCCTCCACTTTCAAATGAAAGGGGCGTGATGCCGCCCACATTGTAATACAATCAGGATCTGGCTTGGAATTAAATCTGCTAACCGAGTTATAGCGCTCGATGCGGAAGGGGGTACTAGAGATTCTGTTCGAGGGCATTGTTGCATATTCAACAATTGCCACTGCAAACCGACGAAGTAATAACAAATGCAAATTTCAAGCTCAAGAATTTTCGTTTTGCAAAAATTGTGTACTTTTTTTTTAGCTCATATTTTACTTATTTATGCTTTTAGCTTTTTGCTTTTTGCCATGGGCAACAGCAGGCAATAGTGTAAATGAGTTTTGCTCGGCCCCTTTTCCCCTGACAATTGAATTTGTTTAAATTGTTGCCTGCGAAATTTCTGAGGGAGCAGCGGAATCGCAACCATGCATCAGCAATCAGGAATGGGGGATCCACTAAAACTTCAAGTAGAAACACATTGTCCTCCTCGCTGAGAGCCAATATAATCAAGCGGCAGCAGCTGGCAAAAAATGATGTGGCAATGTGTGGGTGTGTGCGGTATGCACTGGGAAAAATATGAATAGGCGTCAGCACTTGCAAAATATATTTTTTTTAATACATAAGAGTTTTTAGAACTATAGATTAGCTTAAACAGGTTGCTTAATACTTCCAATGGAATTCAAATTGAAGATCACTTTTTTTACATCATTTGTGTAAAATATTTATATTTAACATTTTTTTTGTGTGTACTGAGGGGACTGGGGGGCTGGTGGGCAGCAGGCTACAGGACTTGGGCACTGATGAGTTCACTTCAGTGAGCAAATGAAACGATATTGTTGTCAATTTAGGTGCAACAAAGAGCAGCAATGCGTCCCGTCTCTTTCCATCCGACGGCAGACAAGGACAAGACAAAGCAAACAGCATGCATGATGAGCGAGAGCGAGAGCGAGAGGGAGTCATGCGGGTCAACGGAAGTCGGAGGGGGAGAGCGATAGCTGGCGTAACAACAAAGGCAAACAACAACAAATTGCATGTCCTTCCGCCTAAGGTTGCAACACAATATACAACGCACTCATATTTACTTTGTGCGGAGGATCCTGTTCCAGGTCTGCTCTGTCCTCTGTCCTCTGTCCCCTGTCCCCTGTCTTCGTCCCTTTCCCACATGTCGCCCCTCTCGCTTGCACCTGCACCTCGGCGAACTCCTCGCCCAGTTGCAACATTAATGAAAACTGCAAGCGACCTGACACAGATACGTGTGTGGGGTGGTGTCCTGGCGGGAAAAGGGGCGAAAAAGGGGGTGAAGGGGGGTGTGCAAAGGACACCCCGCCATGACTGCACCTTTATTTACAGAACCAAGGAACGAAGGTGAGCTCTTCCAGAATTGGACAATATTTTTAGCCATTTACAGTGCCTGATTTTCCTCTAGGTGATCAAGGATAATTGCCAACTAAGCTGCCTTTACTGTTTCTGGCCATTTAATAACGAAAATAGGGCTTAAATACTGCAGCATTTTAAGAAAATTAAATGCTGGCAACACATTTAAAAATCTTTCAAAGCCATGCTTAGTCGCACAGCAAACAAACAAAAATTGTTTCGATTTTCAAACTAAATTGAGATAAATGTTCTAAAATGATTTATCAAAAAGTTTAACTGACGCAGTTTGTTCAACAGTTTGAACAGGATTGCTGGATTTCGCCGATAAATATCTAGTTCCATTTGATGGATATTTCGGGCAGATTTTAAAATAACTTTAAGCCATTTATCTCCATTTAGCATTATTTAAATACAAGCTATAGATTGCCGAAATATGTATATTAATCAACTTCAAGGCCTATAAGTTTGCATTATGCGGCAGTCAAGTGCTAAATGGCCAAAAGAATTAATTCGAAACAACACAATTTTGATGCACAGCTAAGCCGAAACTAATTGCAACTTTTGATTTGGCAATTTAATTGGTATAAAAGCATTGCATGGTCAGAATTGATTTATTATCGATAGATGGGTTGATAAATAGATGGGTAAATAAGTTAAATAAATAAATAAATTAGGCATTACAATTAGGCGTAGACTACAGCTGAGCAGAGCAGTGAGAAATGGCTGTTATCCTGCAGGACCCTTTACTTTTTTTTTTTTTTTGCACTCAGAGCCTGACAACTTCGACGCCCTGGGGGGCAAACAAGGATTCGGCTGCCAATTTGAGCTTCTCGTTGACCAATTTGGCAATTTTGGGCGTGCGTCGCCACACAAACTCGCGGGTGCGGTCGTGATTGTCCTTGCTCTCCACCTCCACCTGTGTCAAAGGTTGATTGGTCAAAGAATTTGGCGGGGAAAACGGCGAGAATGTGGCCTAGTCACTAACCTGCTTGGGCTGCTGCACCTTGATGGACATCAGGGTGGCCCGATCATCCAGCACGCTGAACTTGATGCGGCCCATCATCTCGTTCGTCCTGGCGGTCGCGCTCTTCACGCTCCTCACGCTGCCCTTCTTGAAGGACTTCTCCACCCGCAGGACCAGCGGACCCAGCGTGAACTTCGCCTTGATCGTCGAGTTGCGTCCCTCGGCATCGCTGATCACCTTGACATTTCCCACCCGCTTCAGGGATGCCAGTCCGGAGAGCCTGCCCTCGGCCTTCTGCAGCTTCTCCACCGCCCCACCGCCGGCGGCTCCCGCTTTGCTGGCCCCCGCCGGCTGATTGTAGTTCCCTGATTTCAGGCTCGACGCCTTATTCGTGTTCTGCTTGTTCGAGGACTTCTTTTGGCCCGTTTTTGCGCCCGAAACGGTGCGCGTTTCCGCCTTCGGTGATCCAGAATCGGACTCGGACTCGGTGGCAGGCGATGCGGGGCTGGTGGCCGGCCCCCTGGGCCTCTTCTCCACGGCCTTGATGCCCAGCTCCGACTGTAATTGCGTCAATTGCTCCTGCAGCTTCACCGCAGCCTCCCTGGCCTCCTGGTTCGGATTCGCGGAACGGGGCTCCGAGCGCGTGTTCTTCCTGCAAAGGAGACCGAATTCGAGTTGGTGAATACGAAACAGCTTAATTGCCCCTTTGACACTGCTTTCAGCATTTACGAGGACTTTCCGCCGCTGATTTTGATTAAACTCCTTAAGCGCTTCGCTTATAAACCTATTCGATTTATCCTCATTTACAATTTAGCCTAAATGGAACATATTTCATGCCAAAATGTATACATTGTCTTTAAGGTTTTCGAAATTCTTACTATGATTAGAAATGACTAAATAGTAGTTGATTTGATACCAAGTATATAAAGAAAAGGACTCCAATGCCTTTAACAAACTGAGGTGTTAGTCAAGTTTTTTGAGTTAGGCATGCAACTGAGATAAATTTAAATTTAATAACTATATGATACCTATTATAATTGAAGGAAAACGTAGCGACTTACAGCTTCTTGTGACCTCCGACCTTGCTGCTCGTCGATTGCTTCTTGTTGGTGCCCTTCACCGCTGACCCACTGGCGGCATTTGGCAAAGCGGAGCGACCAGTTAGGTTGACCACATAGGGATCATAGTTTTCCGAGACGATGCGATTGATCCTCGAGAAGATGGCGTCGATGAAGTGGTTGTGGCGGGCCTGGAAGGCATCCGTGGACATATCGATGACGTTGTTCTTCAGGTCACCTGTGGGCGGGTCAAAGGTCGTGGCCGAGGGGCGGGAAGAGGGCGGCGGGCGGAAAATGTTCACATTAGTTCGGTTCAGCTGAACACAATAAGAGTTCAAATCGAGGTGTGAAAGGGTAGTGGGCGGGCATTGTGGTTTCATTTTCGTGGGGGTGGGGGTGTGGGTGTGGGTGTGGCTGTGGGTGTGGGTGGGTGTGATTTCCATAGGCGTTCGCTTTGTTTTCAACCTCTAATTACATTCAAGTGCAGAGCTGTGTGAGTGTGCTGACCTCAGATACACACTAACACACTAAGCTCCGCGCTTACGCGGTGCATGTGTGTTTGTGGCTGGGCTAGCAAATAAAGTATAAAAAGACATTTACATTGAATCGTGCAGTTAAGTTCACATTCGTGTACAGATAAATAAAAATCCAATAACCATGGTGGAACGAGGACAGTTAAAGCAGTTTTCGTATCATAAATCACTGCAACTATAGTGTTAATTAAAAGCGTGCTTAATCATTTGATAATTGAGTGATTAGTTGTAGCATTTGATTTTTGCGAAATAAATATTTCAGATCAAACTAGCCCCTTTGATGAAATGGGTAAACATAGCCTAGGCTTAATAATATGAGCAAGAAATCCTTTTCTATAGCACAATTAAACATAAATAAATCTGATCAGTGGGTATAATAAATATCTTAAGAAACATGTATTTAATGCACTCCTAATGTATTTTGATTTTCATATTAACGAATTTCATTTATTGATCCAATAAATTATAGAGATTCTAGTAATATTTTTAAATTCTTCAAATAAACTTTTGCTTAAACAATTTATGATTAATGAGGTTAATTAAATCAAAACACGAAAACGTCCCCTTTATTTACCCAATTCTGGTGGAGTCTGCGGCGTACTTATTAGTTTTAAGGTATTTCCCAGCAAAGCAAATATTCATAAAGCTCCAGCACTGTGCCAAAGCCCCAACTTAGTGGTCACTTAACCCCATAAATTTATTTCCGAAACTGTCACCCTCGCCGAGAGTGTGCAGCGATTCGCAGGACCATCCCGTCAGCCAGGACCCCACATCCTAATCCTTGTCTCCTCCTTATCGCGGTGACCCATCACCGGGACCCCGCCCCATCGGGCGGGGCACCTAACCCACAAGCGGATATAATCTCACACTCGACCACCGCTGAACGTGATGAGGTACTAATGTACTTTTTGCATGTAAAACCCGCCCCATCCACAGTGGGTCCGGTCCGTTAAGTACTGCCCGTCGCCCAGAAGCGGGTTCACTTTCAGCATTTGCCCTTTTCACTGGCTGTTAATTGAAGCGGGAATTTCAAATTTAAAGCGGCATATTCTAAAATAGATAATCGTGTGGGTGTGGGCGTGCCCGTTGGGCGTTGGGATTATATCCAAGGACTTTTGGGGGGTAAGAAATGCACAATTACAATGGTTGAGCACCAGATCCCAACTAATTACAGCTGCAGATGGGCAAGATGGATGATATGAGGTTTGGCCGAGATAGCACGGAACATTACTGTAATGACGGAAGCTGCTAATGATGAGTGTGAGTGTGTGAGTGAGGAGCGACAGAGAGGACAGAGGACAGAGGAAGAGGACAGACAGAGACACCAGCACCTCGCCTAAGGTGACGCTTGAAAGTATGCTACGAGAAATAAAAACACAAAATTTCCAATTTCACACAGATTCCAATACCATTAAAAGTTGCACAAGGAATTTCATTTCGCAAATTTATTTAAGCAAATTTATTGTTTTTGTGGTTTGTTCTTCATCTTCTTGCTTTTGTTTTTATAATAAATAAATAAATAAATAAATAAATAATAAATTATAAATTAGATGACCTAAAACGCAAAGTTTAACAATTCTCAATTTCGTTTTGTGAAATTTTGCGCTGCCTTTCAAGCGTTCAACTTTTAGCTACAATTCATTGTTGATTTTTAAGTTTGATTGAGTTTTTTCCATATTTTTACAAAATTTGCGTTATTTACGTTCGGAAAATTATGCGAGCCGAAAAAAGTAAGAGAAAAAGCCAAAGGTACAAAATATACATCTTTTGATTCATCTAAAATGTTCAATTGTAAGCCAAATGTGTGAAAGCAAGAGATAGCGATAGTGCTTAAATGCGTGTGTGTGTGCATAAGAGAGACAGACATAGACATAGTAAGAGACAGAGCGAGTGAGATAGGCAGTTGTTTACATCATGATAACTAATTCCGAATCTGATCGATTGCTTTGTTTAATTACACAAATAAATACGAAAAAGATATTACAACTAGAAATAAATAAATTACACTAAGTAAACAATTCTTATTGCTGTTGTGTTTGTTGGTGTTACATCAATTTAGCTATACGTGTGTGCGGGGCGTGTGTGTGTGAGAGAGATAGACAGAGATAGAGAGAGTGAGAGAGGGAGATATGTGAATGTGATGGAATGGGAAAGAGAGAGCAAGGGAAGCCTTTCTTTCAGCGATATCTCTTTCTAACAATTCTTCTCTTGCTCTGCTTCTTGCCATTCTTCCGCCTTCGATTCTTCTGCGCCTTCTTCTTCTTCATCATGATCATCATCATCATCATCTTTTGCATTGTGATCTCTTTGAATTCAACCATTTTTGTGCTTGGGCATTAAACATGTTGCTGTTGCAGTTGCAGCTGCAACTAGTGTTGCTGTTGTGCGTACAGTTGGTGTTGCAATTCTTTAGTCAGGTGAAACAGTCCGTGCGTAAATAACTCAACAATTGTGCGTTGGAGGGATGCGGTGGAAAAAAATTGGGAATAATTGTGCTGCTTGTTGTTTTGCAGATAGTTTGACTAGCACCAAACTCTCGATAAATGCATTCCCCTTTCGGGGATGCGTAAACATATGTATGTACTTAACTCAGTTTTTGTTTCATAAATTATAGGATAGCGAGGGGTGTGGGAGGATAGTCAGTGCAGGCAAAGATGCAATTGCAAAAGTCCGGATCGCGTCCTGCCCCATGGGAAAATGTTCAGAAAATTCGCTTTCCTTTTCGTTTTTGCTTTTCGGGGCGTGTCATTCTCTGTTGCTGTACTCTTTTTTCGTTTTATTGTTGTTGTGGGTCCCTGTCTTTAGTGGTTGTTGCGGTTGTTGTTGTTCATTTAGCAGTTTGTTTGGTTAATGCTTCAGCTCTTTCTTGGCCTTCTTTGAGGGACTTGTTGATTTCTTGGCCTTGGTTTCTTTCGTCGCCGTTTCCGACTTCGATTTGGACTCACGTGCTTCGCGGCGGGCCTCGATGATGTCATCGCCGATAATGTCATCGTCGTCATCGTCATCATCATCGTCGGCCTCCTCGTCGTCGTCGCCGGCGATACCTGTAATTTCACCAATTTCATCGACTCCATCATCAATATCATCATCATCATCATCGGTCTCGTCGTCCTCATCATAATCGTCATCGTCGTTGTCAGTGTCGTCGGCGCCAGCGGCAACATTCCCGGGAGCAACCCCACTTGCAACACCTGTCGCCGGTTGCCCCAAGGTCGTCCCACTGGCCACCAGCTTATTGTTAATGATGTTGTTGTTGGTTAGAGTGTTCTTGTTGACTGTGCTTGTTGTGGTTGTCGTCGCATGCTGAGATGAAGCCAGTGATTGCTGTTGCTGTTGCAGTTGCAGTTGCAGTTTCAGTTGTTCTTGCAGCTGTATGTTTGTTTGTTTCTGTTGTTCGTCAATTGCAAGGGTGCTACTTAAACTAGTTGTGCCACCACTAACACCATCTACAAGTGCGTCTTCATCGTAAAAAACATTTTGTTCACCTTCGTTGTTGCTGCTGCTGGCGGCTGCGTTCTGCGCCGGAGCAACTGCAGCGGACACGGACTCATCGGCGGCATTTCCGGCGGCCAGCAGCTCGGCGGCGTTTCCGGACTCGGCGGGCAGATCAACACCATCGGAGATTCCGGCGCTCACGGAGGAGGCGGCAGCGGGGGCGACCTCATCCAGAGTTTGGGCGGGCGCGGCTGCAGCAGCGCTCTGCTGGGCGGTGGCAGCGGGCGCCTCGTCATCATCATCCTCATCATCATCATCTAAAATAAGGGAGGCATTCGTTCGGTTAACTTCGGTTTACTTTGGTTTCATTTTTGTGGCACCTCCGTAGGGAGCGATCTGCTTAACACCTAAGTCAAGTTTTTAGTAACAACACTTACCGCCCAGGATATCGTCGAACAGCCTGTCCAGATAATCGTCATCATCATCGTCCTCCTCTTCGTCATTGTCGCTGGCAGTGGCCGCCGGAGCAGCCTGACCCTGGGGCGTATCATCCTCCTCATCCTCGTCATCGTCCTCCTCCTCATCATCATCTGAAAGTCCCGAAATCAAAAGAACTTTGTTACCCAAGGAGAAGGGAGCCACAGAAGAGAGTCACAAAAAATGTTGGTTAATAAATGCTGGACAATATCATCGTTTGGCTGGGTGCTCATTGCATTGCTCAGTGGTTGAGTGGTTCAGCGGTTCAGTGGTTCAGTGGTTCAGTTCGGTGGTTCGAACAGTTCAAACAGTGGTGCTGTGCTGGTGGTGCTGGTGACCTGGGTGCATTCAGTGAACGGGAATTGCTCTAAACCTACCATCATCGTCATCGATCAGATCCCCTAGATCAGGCTCATCATCGTCGTCCTCGTCGTCGTCGTCATCGTCGTCATCGCTGGCAGGAGCTACCGCTGGAGCCACCTCATTGTTCACCGTCTGCTGACGGGAAACAGCCCGCTCGCTCCTCGAAAGCCGCTGGAGGGGAGACGCCTCAATTTGCAGCAGCAACGCGCTCAGCACGCACAGCAAAATCACGAACTTCATGTTGTCAGATCTGCAAGAGGCACGGGGGATAATTTTCTGATAAGCCAAGGATATTGAACCTAAAACATATGCGCCCCAAGTACGTATGTAAATTATGGATTTCATAAGATTCCCTGGTAGCACCAATTCTGTGGATCTTTCTGCATTGCGATTATTTCTCCCTGTGCAGCCACTTTCTTTTTCATGATTGTGAAATTACACATTTAGTGGGCAAGCGTACGTCAGCAGCGGCGGAGTGGTCTTTCGGTCAATAAGCCAGCCACTGAAGAAAGCAGACAAAGGAGCGGCGCCGTGTGAGAGTGCGATTGTAAACATGTTTTTGAGCTTCGCCTCAAAGTTGCCGCCGGCGGTGCTCACATGTCCAGTGCTGGCACTTGACACACAGCAGCAGCAGCAACAGTTGCAGCAATTGCAACACCAAAAGCAGCATTCACCTGAGCAACAACAACACCTTTTCGGACAGCCGCAGGCGCCACAATGGCAGTTGAAGGCTGAGGGACACAGGCGGGTCGCACCATCTTTGAACCCGCCAGGAATCGCTGTAAACGCATTTCAAAGTCCCTGGAGGATGTCCGGTTTCAAAGGGTATTGCTAGTTCGGTCTGCTGTCCGAGCGTAGCTGTCATTGTTGTGTAGCTGCTGTTGCTGGTGGCTTTTTAGTCATGACAATCAGCGCGACCAACAGCCAGCGGCAATGGCAATGGCAAACAACCGCAGCAATTGTTGCTGCTGCTGTCGCAGATGCTGCTGCTGTTGTGGATGTTGCTGCTGCCGCTGCTGCTGCTGTTATTGTCGCAGTGTCAAGTGCGACTGCCGCGGACTCAGTGAAAGCGACTGAGCCGTCGGCGGCGACGCAACGTTTTCCCAAAAAACTTGTTCGCAGCAAGTGTGGTAGCTGCTGCCGCCTATTGAAAAATGAGTAAAACGCTTTCAGTAAATCGAGTCCAGCGCTGATAAGCGAACGGCAAAGTGGCCATAAGCCAAAGTGAAAACCCAGTGACCCACTGGCAAACTGCAGCAGCAACATGACAGCGTCTCAGATTTGAGTGACTTTCGGGTTTCGAGTTTCGGGTTTCACGGATTTTAGGGCTCCGCGTTTGATAAGCCGCCAAGTCGCTGTTTTATGGCTTTCCAGTGTCTCAAGTTTTTGGAGTGGAAGACAGCCAGCAGCGGCATCACCAGTTGCCATCGCTTAATTAAAAGTTTTACGCAGCGAAGCTCCTCAACGGTGTTTATTAAATACCGATGCTCCAGGCAAATGCCTTCTGAGCCGACGGGGGGCTGGAAAATGGGGAGCAAAATATGATGACATATTACCTGGCCCAGGCAACCAAGTCTCAGGAACAGTGGTTGCTCGTTTCCTCGAAAATACGAGACTTGTAAGACGATTTGGTTACCAAAGTCGCAGATTTAATTAATTTTTAATGAAGCTTTTGATGAAGAATTGTGATTTCTTCAAGTACAGGAAACCACAAAGAAATTCATAGAAGACCTGCTTAGTGAGTCTTTTGATATCAGGAACTGCCTTAATGACATCTGACAAATTTAATCTAAACAACCCACAATGTTGCACATGCAGTGGGCACACTGTGAGCCCCCCACTTGCCCCTCGATTTCCCAAGGCCCTTCTGCCTCGAAGCACTTATAAACTCCTGCCTATTGAAGTCTTGGGGAAATTGCATTTACTCCTCACCCGCTCCGTTCCCCTGGCAAAGCGTTTTATCTACCATTTTTCTCACCGAACTAGGAACATTTCACGCGTCATGCCGCAGAAAAGGCAAGAACAAGAACAAGAACAAGAAAAGCGTTTGGTGGGGCTTTAGTGGGGGGTTACTGGTTGGATGGTCTTTTCGGGGGGTGGTGGAAGGGTTGAAAGCTAAGGGGCAAGGCAACAATGCAATGCAAAACTTCTGACAGGCGTGGGACAGAAAGCAAGGGGGCTCAAGTTTTTGCAGTTCTTCAGCTTTGGCAACCACTTGGCTCTCTCTCTTCTTCTTCATCAGGCTCTTCCTCTTCTACCACTTCTTCTTCTTGCCGTTCTGCTGTTGTCTATTGTAGGAACTAACTCATATGGAACGCTGCTCCCACTATACAATATTTTAATGCCCCCATAGAAAAACGCAGCTAACCGTGTGTGCATTCTACATTAATATTCATGTGCGTGATGCTGATGCAAAAGATACCGGGCGAGGGGTACACAGACAGAAAAATCTCCATATTGCAGAATTAGTTTAAGTTCGAGTGACTAATTAACAATTGAAATAATAATTGTGCAGGTTAGAATTATCTGCGTTTGGATATTATCCTAAAATAAAATGAACTTCATAAACCAAAAAATGTAGGATGTATCGTAATTTCCCCATCGCATTTAATTGTCTTATTTTCCACTAGAAGAAATTGGATTAGCTCAGTTTTTCCCAGTGCATTTTGGTGGTGTTTGCTGTGCACTTGCACGTCACATAGCCAGCAAAAATTACTTAAGCCCCACTCAGGGGAGCGAGTGCGATTGGAGGGGGGAACAGCGGGGGGCACTGGGGTAACTATTGAAGGCGGCGGCCTGAGGCGTGGCAGCTGCCACTTGATGTTGGAGCTGCCTGGCTCCTTGGATCCTTGGAGCCTTGGCTCCCAGCTCCTGTCCTCCATCCGCATTGTCATATCAGCGTCATATCAATAAATATGCAGGCCGCACAAAAGGCCACGTGCAGACAGGATTTGCATAGCCTAACCCACTGCCACCTGCCACCTGCCACGCCCCCACTGGCATGCCCACCTGGGCCAGATTTCCCACAGCTCGGGATCCTTCTTTGTTCGAGTTTGTCTCATATGTTTGCGGAGCCTTGTCTTCGCAGCTGCGTTGCAGTTAATTTTCCAAGACAATGGCCCACGAGATGGTGTAGAAAAATAAGCTTTACACGTGCCGCTTCAACGGCCACGCCCCCTCTAAATTTGCAGTAAGCGGTTTTTCGGGGGAGTACGTGCACTTGCTGAAGTTTTTTGGGGGTTTAAATCACAGAAAAAGCGGGGAATGGCACTTCTTTAAAAGGCCTGGAACTTGAGTTTGTGGGTACTGGAAAATAATTCCCTGAACACTGAGAAAATATACATAGATGTTTTAAGATGTGCAGAAGGATATGAAAGGTATGGGGCTATTTGTTCCAAAGCAGCTGTTTACATTTATAAACTTAATACATTTCGTACAAATAACGTTGGGTCATCAGTCAAAGTTCAGGGAATCGCGAACCTTTTACCAAGATGTTATAAGATCTTTATAAGATGTTATAGGGAAATTTTTGAGATTTCCTGTAGTGCACTGACTACGCAAAAACAGTTGCTATCGTTCTGCCTTGTGTTTTGCACTTTGCTTGCGCTCGCACGTCACTTGAATTAGGACTTTGTTATCGTCACGGCGGCGCCACCTGGCGGAACAAGCTGGCAGTCTTGGCCGGACAGGGGAATCCCCTTTCGGAAACTCTGCTGACTGACAAGCTGCATAAACTTGCTCATGAACTATAGCTGCTGAGCAGCAGCAGAAGCACAAAAATGTGCGAAAAATGAGGAAAACGAATTGAAGCCACTCGAATTGCCAGCAGACTTTGCTCAGTTAATAGCTTGTCCTTGCTGCCAGTATGCACGCCCCAATTCATACGCCCCGTTGGCCGACGAGTGTGTTTTGTTTTGGCAGCAAAGTGCTGGCCAATGTAAACAGTGTAAACTATAACTTGGCTGGAACTGGTCGAGATGCTGTAGCTGTAGCTGTAGCTGTAGCTGAAGCTGAATCTGAAACTGGCCAGGAAACACTTAAATTAACTGCTTCAAGTCGCTCGTATGTGGGTCATCTGGGCAGAAGAAACCTGAGAGCCACGAGAGATGATTACTCAACTTGGTTCGCATCGTTTCTATATAGTGCGCTTCGGTTTGGTTTGGTTTGGTTTGGTTTTGGCTCGGTTTGCTGACCGCAGAGCCCCAAACAACATCAGCAGCACATGTGAAAATGGAGCGCATAAAAACCAGAGAAATTGCCATTGGACTTGGGCAGGGAAGGGAATCGTGTTGTAGTGTATTGTACTTGGCCCTAAATTGCCGCAGATACAATTTATGACCCGGCCAGTCAAGAGTCCGGCTCCGGGCACAAGTTGCCTTCCGCAGTTGAAAATCAATTAAAAGTTCTTGCCCAAGACGTTTTGGCCCGTTCCAAGGCTGCATCGCGTCGAGCTGAGCTTTATGGGCCCTTCCTTGAGTTCGAGGAAAATCAGGAGGAGCACACTATGGTGGGTGTGCGATGGGGTTGGGAAAAACTGGGCATGCAAACGCTTACATTTGCCACAAAAAATACTACGAGAGTGGAAGGTTAAGTGGAACAGATCGAAATCGCTGGCATGCCGCTCCACTTTCACGTACTTTTTAGTCCAATGCTAAGTTGTCTTAAAGGATACTCATAGTTTCACACAGCAAAATCGACGATAATCCTTGGTTCAATTTCACAGTTCTCTTTTTGCTACTGTAAATATTAGCAGAATTGATTAAAAACCTTTTAGCCCTTTTTTGAACGCCCTTCATCTGGTTGGTTAGGTGATATTCATTCTGGATTTCACAAGTTTGTGAGCAATATTTACGGAATCAATTAGGCCAGCTTAGCTAAGGGACCTGTGTATTCTGAATTGAACTTTCGGTCCAGTAATGGAAAAATTTCACATGAAAATTGTTGTTGTACATAACAAACAAACGTTCCGAATTATCTTCAGTGTTTCAATTGTAGAGCCAAGAAAAATACCAATGTATTTTTCTCTATTAAAGCCATGTTTCGAAACCGAGTTTCAAAATTTGCTGGCGTAGTGACACAAATTATCCGGAAATCACGGATAATCCTCTCCGCTTTCACACAATGTATCTGGTACTCGTAATCCGAAGGCTAACCTTGACTAAGTATTATTCACTGATCGTGGCACAGAACCGATAACAACCGATAGTGGGTTTATAGTTTATAGACCGATTCGCAGCGTTGCGATCTCCTCGAGTTGCCGTGAAAGACTGTCGCTGGCGAACTGCTTCTTGGATGGTTTTTAGTTGTAAGTGTTGAGCAAGTTTTCTGTTTTCAGTCCTGAGTTCGGGCCCCCCCTTCTTTCTGCCCGATTCTTGGGCAGTGACTTTCTTTTTTACCGCCTCTCTTTACCTGTTTGTGTTGGTTTGTGTTTTTTTCTTTCGATTTTTGTGGCGATTCGATTCGTTTCGATACGATTCGAGTCGTTGGTGGATTCTGGCCTGAGCTTGGCTGGCTCCTCAGTGGTTCGAATTCGAGTTCGGTTTTCCAACACCGCCGCGCACACAACTGTCTCGCTCGACTGACCGTCTGCAACTGATCGCTGGCAGCCAGCTCGTCTTACCAACTTACCAACTTCCCAACTTCCCAATTTGGCTCAGGAAAAGCCGAAGCTCGGCCCGAAGCGTGAATTTACATTTGGCTGCTTTCTGCGGCTCTCTTGGCTCGATTCTTCAATTAATTTGACGAGCTGGGCTGGCCTGGGAAAGTATTTGGCACACTAAACGGCCAGCTATAACAGTTAGCGGCTTGTCAGCCAACACTCGTGAGCTATGATCTAAGAATCCACGACGGGCGAGTCTCGTTGGGGCGGCAGGGCAGCTTTATTGCAGCTCTAAATAAACAAAAATTAAATGGAACAGAGGCGTGGCCATAAAACCCATTTGAATTACTGCACGAATCATAAAACTGAAGTTTTCAATTACACAAATGAGAAAGCCTGGCCATAAAATACAATTGTGTGGGATAAAATGCAGAAGAGAATTAACCTACTTACGCTCAGATTCTCAAATGATTAAAAATTTTAGGAGGCGCAATAAATGACTTGTAAATTTGGTGACCATTCTTCCCAAAGAATACGAGCCTTTAAATACGAGTATGTATTTGATTACCATAACTTCCCCCGACCACATTCCTCAATGTTTTGTTTGATTTGTGGTCAAGTCAAATTCTCTCCATCGACTTCCCATTGGCCATACGTCAATGTTTTTGCCACCTGGAGTCGCGAATCGCAGAGTGCTATATTAATATTGATTTATGCCGGCATCGTTCCGCACCCTAACCCCATTCCGCATACTCCCGTCCTCGATCGCAGAGCATTATGCATATATAGTATGGCCGATGTATGGGAGCGTTCCCCAAGTGCTAATTTCTGCTTCTGTTCGGCGAACCAGCCCATTTCAAAGTGAAATCGCAATGGGGCAATGAGTGAATACGGCTTATAGAAATGCGTCCGATGATAAATTGAGGTGTAATTAATTCGATTCGCCCTGACTGAGTGACTGACGTTTCATTTTCAGTGTCCGGGACGAGGAAAATTGACAGTCACAACTCAGAGCTTTCCCACATACTCGGGAAATCGGGAAAATTGTTGCTTCAGTTGGCGTCGGCGGTGGCAGCGCTGCCAGCGGCGGCAGCGACGGCGACGGAGGCAGCGAGAGCGGTAAAGTCCAACAGTAAAACGTGTTCTACTCGTTTATGGCTGCTTCTTCTTGGGCAAAAGTTGTTTTTACTGTAGTGTAGCTGTCTATAACTTTCTTCTTGGCCAACTGCGAGCCGCTGCGAGCCAAGTTAACTGCCTGTATGGCACAGTAGAGTCTCTCTGTTAACAGGTCAGTGGAGTTTTCTTAAACTTCCAACTTCAGAAACCGAAACCGAGTCTCTGCCGCCTTCCGCAGAATGTTACGAAATTTTATGTAATGTGCCAAAAAAAAAATAAAAATGCACAAAAAGCAAAGAAAAAAATAGGAAAACAATTTGGAAAAAAAACAAAGCACTGCTTAGTGAACAATGCCCAGAAAACTTTCATTCCAAGGCAACAAACAACACTCTTCGCTTGGCCAAACTTTAACTATTTGTGAGGGGGACGTCAAGCCGGAGCAAGTTCAAAAAGCATATAATTTTACATTTTAATGGCTTAATACACTTTGACACTTGCTGGTTTTTGGGGTCGAGCCAGGTGGCCAACGCAAAATGTGGAAGGGGTCAGCAATCACATCTACACTCGTTACACCCACTCCCTTCGGTGCAATCCAAAAGCCAGCTTCTTCTAAATATTTTAGGGCTGCTTTCCTGCCCCATTTGACTAATTAATTTCTGGCCAACTTGCTAGGCTTTGCTGGGTGGCTTTCCGGAGGGGGGAATACCAAAAGTTTTTCCAGTTTATTAATTTTGGCCGCACTTGTTGTTCTTGTGCTGTGCTGTGCTGTTTAGTTTCTGCGAAAATACCGCCCGCTGAAAATCCTTGCCGGCGATTGGCAGCTCTAATTGAGAGTTTCCGTCCGGCTTTTTGGCGCTAGACTTAGAGATTAATTATGCACGCCAAGCGATTAGGTGATTCTGGGGTATAGTTAGAGTTTATATTTTGTACTTGGCCGAATTCCAAAACAACTGGCGAGGATAACAAATAATCTAATCTTTTAAAGATATTTACATAAAGTAATGGGTGTTCTTAAATTTTCCCATTTAAGGGTGTTTTGTAATGACAAGAAATTAGTTAACGTGAATAATTTATGTTTAAGAATCAACCTCTAATTAGAGCTTAACTGAAAAATGTGTTTCGCTGAACCGATTTAAGCTTTAAATCCCATTAAACATTGGCAAAAGTAGCAAGGTTTTCCTTTGTTTGATTCCCCATCTCATGAACTCTTATCAGTTTACCACTAATTATCCTGGCAGAGTCCTTAACCGCTTTTCGTCCGTGAAACTCCTTATTAACGCAATAATGCCGCGCCCACAACTCCGCCCACCGCCCAGCGCCACGTACATTGTTCATTTAACGCTCATTATTGTTCCAGCGCCATTCAGGCAATCCAATTATCCCCACTAACCGACCTCCGTCGACAATTAAAGGCATGAAATTATTTGATTACCAACGTTTTGTCGCTGTCTCGAGCGGATTTCGCTTTTCTTTCCAGCTTTTCACGAACACCAAGTTACTCGCCTCCTGGCTGGCCTTTCCCCCTTCCCCTTCCCCTCCCCCCTTTTCCTTTCCCCTCTTCCCCAAGTGTAACTGAACTACACGTGTGTTGTATTGGTGTAATGGCTGCTAAAGGTGAGATTATGCATGAAAGCGCTGCTGTGTGCTCGGAATAATCATGGCTGGCACTTTTTCAGGGGCGTGGCCAAAGGGGGGGGCCGCTGCTCACACGCGCCAACTGTCAATCGATTGGGTGGTGGGGGGGTGTAAGCCAACTACCCGCTGCCCCCTGCGACTAATCGATTTTCAAAAGCGGCTTATAGTTAGTGGCTAATATCGCTGCCACCGATGTTGCTGCTGTGCGTACTGATTAAACGCCAAGTGCGTGCCTCTAATTTCGCTTTGTTTAAAGTGAGTACGACGCGCATGTCGCCGTCGCCAAATGAAAAGCAACGGATTTGTATTTGGATTTGCGTTTGATGCCGTTGAATTTCATTTGCGCATTACATTCAATTTTTACCAGCCTGGCCCGCAATGTGAGTGCCTTTTGGTTTCGTTTTTATTTCTTTATGAATTCATTCACGTACCGCGCACAATAGGCAACTCAACTCGAACCCTCTTGACCGTTAAGTTCCTGCACAGGAAACAATTCAGTGGAGGTATTCGAAAATACCAGATAAAATAAAGAAGTTACCAGAGCTTTATCAGAACTAAATAATAGAGGTATATTTTGATAATTGCTGCCTATCTAATCACAGTCCAGTATGTGAACTTATTCTAAATGATCAATATTTTACTGCTGCTACAACTTTTTGATTCTGAGTTATACTCTTAAGCTATTCATATCAGTATTTTCAATCTACACAAGATCATGTTGCACAAAATATCAGGGTTAAGTAAAGAACTATTTAAACAGCACATATTTCTTATTATCCTTATAATTCTTACTTACTTATTGTTAAATTAATTAAATTTTAAGAAATATGAAATATTTACGATTATAAGGCTATAAGATTATAGGCATTCATGTGTGGAATTACCATGGGATTTTCATTAATTCAATGTTAAGCGCACTCCCAGGACATGGAAAATGGCCAAGTGACCCATGCTTTTCTCCCTGTGCATTTGCAACCGCCTTTGTCCGCCTTCAGCCCTCATTTCGCATTCAATAAGCGAACGCATCCATCCATCGAACGAAAGCCAAGACAACCAAAGCAATTTCAATACAAGCGAACAAAATCAACGGCAACAAGAAATGGTAAATGAAAGTGCCCTCAAAAGGTTTTCTAAATTTGTACCTCCAAGTGCGCGAAGAAGAGTTTTTTCCAATTCAGTTTCTTACTTTTTTCCCCTTTTTACGCTTCTTTTTTTATTTTGAGGTTGGGCTTAATTGTGTCGCAGTGCAGCGAATGAGTGACTGAATGACTGAATGACGGAGCGATTGACTGACTGTCCGACTGCAGAGAGAACTCGCGGGCTTTCAATTAGCGAAAGTCCGATATGCATATGAAGCTGGTTCTGCCCAAATCGAAGTGGGCTAAATGGGGAAAAAAGGCAGAAAAACGGAAAGAAAGAGCTGTCATCGGCGGCAATGGGATCGTTAAAACGACATCTAATAAGCTGTTTATGCCTATTTTTACTTTCAGGCTAGCGGCTTCTACTTCTTCCACAGGGCCAATAACCAAATGCCAAGGCCTATGCCAAGTTGGCCATGAGACAAGTGGCACACCGGAAAAAGTGATCGTTTTCTTTACGGCTTTTTAGAACTTTTCCTAATTTCTATTTAAAAATGAGAGTTTTGTAACGTTTCCATTGATGTATTAATTATGTATACATGTAAGAAAATTTCCTTATGAGCTTAGCTCATTTTTTTTAACTGCATATACTTTTTTAAAGCACCTTATTGCCTTCATAAACATTATTTACTCGCTTATTTATTAAACAGTCATTAGTCGCAACTTTAGTAGTAGCAACTTAGTAGTAAGCTTTAAACAATTTATTTGAAGAGACTCATTTATGGTGTAGACTAGTTTATTTACCTAAGTTTATTAATTTAATAATAAAAATTTAAAACAAGTTTTTTAAGTTGGGAATGCTTATGCAGATCTGTAAGCAAAAAGTTTAGGAGCAAGGGAACTTAACTCTATAGTCTGAAAATCCAAGTGACACATTGAAGGTGCGTTTTTCTCAGTGTACTTGGTAGCTGAGAGCGGAATTCAGCTGTCGCACAGGAAGGGAAAGCTGCCGATGCTGGCGATGAGCATCCAAATGTGTGTGTGTGTGTGTGTGTGTGTGCCTCGGTCTTGTTTTACAGCTCCAAAGAAAAGCAAAAGTCTGAGGCACATTATGGCCAGAAATTGACATTCTTTGCAGCCCCGCCCCCCTAAACAGCCGCCTCCCAGCCGCCCCTCGGCCTAACAATCAGCAA